AGTTTACAATCCAAGGCTCGAAACCGTGACCTGTTGATCAGAACTCTAACGCGTTCACCTGCCAATACTACTAGCTGCTGTATGGCTGCTGGCGGGACTCGAGGGTGACTTCCAGTAGTGATCAGTGAGCGTCCCTCAACAAATGTGTTAACTAATTTAGGATTTAGCAAATATTAGGGGCAGATAACCAGTAATGACCATCCTAGAGGCCCACCAGATCCAGATTCTGAAGGCTTGTAGTGGACTCTAGCAGTCACTTGGAACCCGAGATCAGCCACTGAGGCCTGCAAGGCCCGCACCTGCTCGCCAGCCTTCGTCTATCTCAAGGTCGCGCCCTACCGCTAGTCTATACATCAGCCGCATGATTGGTTACTGTAAAAAAAGCATGCTCCGGCCATCCGGCTATTCCCGACGTACGCCAGCAGAAAAGAGAGCTTAACGACTATACCTGCAGAACTTCTTTAGGGCTAATGGATATTCTAACAATTTTATCGAGGAAGGCAGGCATCAAGCGAAAAGACGACGGCTAAGGAGACCTCCAACTCCCTCGGACACCTGCGAAAGTGGGCTTCACACTTAATCCGAAGGAGTTCAATCGTCACCCGGCCATCATCGTCAACGGTGCGTCCTTACCACTCGTCCGTAAACCCAAGCTCCTTGGCGTCTGTTTCGATCCGCTTTTCACGTTTGCGGACCATGCCAGGGAGATCGCAGGCAAAGTGAGCCGCTGCACCAGGGTCCTCAGGGTTCTCGTGGGCATATTCTGGGGTTGTGCAAAAGAGACTTTGGCGACCACATTTAAAACGCTGGCCAAGTCGTACCTCACTTAAGTGGTACCAATCTTGTCTTCTACGATCAGCTCTTCCAGCCTTCGCCGCCTTCAGTCAGCCCAGAACGCTGCCCTCCGCTCAATCACGGATTGCTTCAAAATGTCGCCCATCGATTATTTTCATGCAGAGGCCTCTGTTCTGCCGGTCGCCTTCATGACGCACTCTTAGGCCAACAGTTTTAGTCGATCCGTTCGTAACCCGACCATCCTAATCACCACCGTTACCGCGTTCCTGAACCCAGCCTCAAAGGTAGACCGTTTATTGGAGCTCTCCAAAAGGAAGCTGTCGTTTCGTGTCTCTCGGACCTACGTGTTGATGCCCCTGCCACCATGACAGGCTTCCAGGGTTTTTACCAGAAAGCCGTTGTCAAAGAAAAACGAGACTACCATCTCACGGTCCTTTTGGGCGGCTATTCGCCTCCGATTACGGCCTCGGAAAAACAACTCCCGAGGGTCACTCGCTGTATGCAGTGGCTACTCAATGGTCCTTCGCCAGTACCAACACCGGCTCGACCCGTC